AAACCTCGAAAGTATGTTGTCTGGGGTCCAACTCGTCGAGTGCATGAACACAACTCGGCGAGTTGGATGCATTTTGCCTTGGACTCGTCGAGTCCCTTCATGGACTCGGCGAGTCAGCTGGGCTGACAGCATCAAAACTCGATTTTTCAGCTTCTATTGCAGGTATAACAAGAAAACAAGCCTAGGCTCTGATACCACTGTTTGGTTATGAGCATTCTAACACTCCTAAGTGTACATGCAACCCTAAATACCTTGGATCTATGTTTTCTCTATTATACATGCAAATATGAACATCCAAGGTATTATCCTAATCTAGCATACAAAATAATGGATATAACAAGATAGAATACATACCTCTTTGATAGTGCTTGTCTTCATGAAGCTTGAGTGCCTAGTGCCCCAAGTGTGACACCTCAAATGGTTCACACAACACCATAAGCACTTGGAATAACATAGAGAGAAATTAGAACACTTCATGAAATCGTCTAGCCCTCATACACACACATAGTGTTAGTAATGATTTCTTGAGCCATGGGTTTCTTTTATATGGTAGCTATTAGGGTTACACCATGTAACTCATGACTTTACCCATTCCTTATGCTCCATGGATTTTAACCTCCATGGAGTATCCATGGGTCACCCCATGGACTTAGTCCAACATAAGGAATCTTGGATCACAAGCCCACATATATAAGAATGAATGATTTACACAATCAACCCATATATTTAATTAGTCTTCTTTTGATCACTTAATTAATTCTAGATTAATTCTTGATCAATACTAATTAAATAATCTCATTATTATTATTATTAATATACTAGAACTTATAATATATTAATAACCGTAAGTGTCTTATTTCTCTCATTATAGTCTATCCAAGTGCATGATGCCATGCAACCCAAATGGACCATGCCGGGTCGGGTCAAGTCTTACCAATTATAGTTATGGACTTAGACATTAATCCAACATATTTGACTAAAACAAAACCATGGCGGTCAAAAGGTGGCCTTATTGAGCTTCTGGAGCTCAAGAGAGGCTGGATCCGAGATATGGCTCGATTACAAAGCTTCATCACTAGGCATTTGGGGTTTTTGAGCTCAAAACCATGAATTTGGGGACAAACTAGATCTAGTAGTACAATAATCAAGATGTAAGCTTTATTACCATAAAGGATGGCCAAAGAGGAGTATAATCTGGATCTACTTCTTCTTCCTTGAGTTCTTCTATCTTCTCCTTCTTCTTCTTGCTCAACAATGCACCAAAAATTCATTCACAAGGGCAAAGATCACTCACACACACTTCAAGGAGGCTGGGGTTTTGGGAATAGGTCTCTAAGAGGTGAAGAAGGCTAGTTTGGGGCTATAATGATGTTTAAATAGGGTACACACCTTGCAAATTAGGGCTTCATACAGACTGGTGGACTCGTCGAGTCAGGAATATGGACTCGTCGAGTCGCCATGCCAACTTCACGTGCTGACCCGCTGCTACTCGACGAGTTAGGGCCACTGACTCGTCGAGTAGCTTCTAAAATAAGAAGAAAAATAATGTTTTAAATGCGTACTGGGAACGGGGCGTTACATACAATAACTTAGCTTATCATATAAACTAATACAAATCTTTATATTTTGACAGTTATCTTATAATTGGATGAGCACGATCACTACCATATAAAAGAAAAAAAAAACAGATTTTATGATTCAAAACAGCTTGTGGTAATGATCCTAATCCAAATTTGACCAAAAAGCTTGGAAATCTATTGTCTGATCATGCAACTCGTCGAGTCCATCTATGGACTCGTCGATTTCAAGGCAAAACATATCCTACTCGCCGAGTAGGTGCTGTCAGAACAAATTTCCAGCTTTGAAAAATAATTCATTTGCATCAATATAATAGAAAACAAACCAAGCTCTAATATCACTGTTGGGTTTTTGTATACTTCAACATCCTATGGTGCACATACAACCCTAAATGTATTGGATCTATGTTTTCTCTCATTATACATGCACTATTGTTTCCAAAGCATTAAGCCTACATCTAGCATACATTAGACATAAACAACATAAGAATGAGTTATAGGATTACCTCTTGATGTAGCTTGTTGTGTTTGGCCTTTAAGAACTTAGTACCCCAAGTGTGATGCCTCAAACGGTTCACAACACACCTATGACAAAGGAGAACTTGAGTGAGAGGTTGATAGCTTCAAAATCGGCTCCCATGAACTCTAAGAACACTTCTAGACCAATTTTAGGAGCTAAGGGAGTTCTTTTATAGTGTGGCAAAGACTAGGGTTACATCCACGTAAACTCTAATGCACCATGACCTTTCACATTACTTAGGCTCCATGGGTTAAACCTCCATGGACTATCAATGGACTATCATATTGGTTTATCCCATCCTAAATAACAATTAGGCCACACTATAAGAATCATTGATTTACCAAATCATCCCTATATATCTAATTAGTCTCTCTTTATCACAAAATTAATTCCAAATTAATTATTGATCAATACTAATTAAATAATATGATTTCATATTAATATATTAGAACTTATAATATATTAATAAATCATAAGTAACCTCTTACTCAAGTATCTATCCTATCAATTTGTCATGGTGATATGCAACCCGAAATGGAACATGCTACTATCGGGTCAAGTACATACCAATAATAGTTATGGGATTAGATACCTAATCCAACAACTAGGCCCACAACCATTAGGCTAGATTACCCCTGAGCTCACAACATGAGTCTGGCTTGTCTTCCTGACCCATAACTCATATCTCGATTGCTCCTGAGCCCACAACATAAGTCTAGCTTGCCTTCTTGGCCCACAACTTATGTATGGCTTGCTCCCGGTTTTGTTGGCTTCCGCACATAGCAGCATTGCCTCAACCCAACCACATTATGTCGATGTATGCAACAGATAAACATATTACCAACAAACGTATAATCGTGCATATTTAACAGATCACTACAACATAACAACATCCTATATACTGGGATACAAAACCGAATGGGCCGAATTGGTACCTTCGACCCACGAGTATAGTGAGGAAACTCACCTTACAGTATGGAAAGATAACAGAAAATAACGTTGCTCCAAAATTAAACTCTACAAGTTACCTATACAATAAATAGTGACCTAAACTCAAACCTATAACTAAAAATATCCAACATACCCCTAGGTCAAACTTGGTTAAAATCCTGGTCAAAGGTCAAAAGTTAAAAAGTAAACTGATACTGAGTATGCTCGACATACTCAACCACTACACCCAATGTAGTGCACCCTTGGTCCTGTTACAGGGTCCCAACCAGGAACGCGCAACATACCACTAGGTACGCCCAACATACTCGGCTGACCTCCATCTTCTTTATTAAATACTTATTCTATTAAGACACCACATCCAAAACTCAAACCTAGTTCCAAATAACATTCTAAGTCATAAAGTTTCCAACTTTATGACTTTCCAAGGCTATAAAGGGTTCGGAAAATAAAACCTAACTTAATACACAAACCAAAAACTCATATATCATGAATGAATAAAGGAAAGAGACCAAGATCACATTTTTATGGCTCTAATCACCTAAAAACGTATGGAAGGACAACCCTTATGGGTTAAAGTAAGCCATACCCATGAACACCAAGATTATGGGACTAAAAGCATAAAAACCTAAGAACTAACAAGATCCAAAGCAAACATGCATGAAGATCGAAACTTTATACCTTCAAATGATGCTTGATGACAAGATACTTATGGATCCAAGATTCCTTGAGCTTCTAAGTTGATTCCAATTATTTATTCTCCCTTCAAGATCACCAAAAGCACACTTTCAAGCTCAAAATGCCCACACAATAGATTAGGGTTAGCAACGGGTGATCTTGGAGATGGAGGTTGATGAACGAAGATGTCTCAAAGAGATAATGATGTTTAAATATGGCTTGAACCATAAAAATTAGGGTTTAACCCTCAACCACTTACTCCTGAAGTAAGCCGAACTATCTCGATCAATTTGCAAATAAGGAGTTAAGGGACCAATTTGCAAATAAATTTCATACCAAGGGTATAAATGGAAAATATCTCGATCAAGGGTGTTACAATTTCATTGATGCAAAAGAATTGTTTCCCTTACATCATAAACTTACAATTAACATTTACATTAACCATTTGATTGAGCAAAATAACCACGCTACAACTAAGTATTAAACTTGACATTACAACTTACAATCAAGTTGAACAAAAAACTACACAACAAACCAGTAATGCCTACATACCATTTCAACACAACATAGACAACCATGAGAAAAGTCAACTGCTTATCATGTATAACTTCAATTTGATCACTTTTTGCTCCATTTCCTAAACGATGCCCAAAGTTTGTTCATCGATTTCAACAATCCTAGAATAATGTCCTTTACGTGTTCACATATATACGTGGATCAACCCAGCCAAGAAACCCGCACGTAGAATCCTTTTAAGAAACTAAGGAAAATGTCAAAAAGATGAGAACCTACAAACACATACTCGAAAACAAAAGATGAAATGATTACATACCAGTTTAGGGCAACATCAGAATCGCCTCCTAGGGTTGGTATTAGTCCATAAAGTACGCGTGATAACCACCTTACTACAATATCACATCACCATGTTGCTTTTTGTTGAGTCTAGTTTCTAGGGTAAACGACAAAAACGAAAGACATTGGGTCTTATTTAAAAAGGAGAAAGTAAATTACAAAGTTGGTCCTTATGGTTTCCAACTTAAAATGATGAAAATGCCCTCACGTAGGGAGCAAATGTGGGACTTAACGAGAAAAAGCAGACGAAAGTAAGGACATAAACCACGAGAAAATTGTATTTTGGTTCATTCATGTGTGTTCGAAAATGATGTCCAAAAGTGAGGACCGAACCTGCACGTTTTTGTAAACCAAAGGCCCCATTTTTGCAATTTACTCATTTGTTATTTAAAGCCAGAAGATTCTGTTAACTATTAACGCCTCATACCAAGGGTTAGGGTTTTGCTAGGGTGTTTGAACTTTGAAGCGGCGAAGAAAGCAGTACCAGCATCTGTTGTCAATTTTCTCGATCATCAATGGCGAAAAAACGAGAGAGACATCAAAATCCAGAACCTTTCTTATCGGATGACACCAACAAATCTGCCTCCAAGAAGCGCACCAAACCCGCTAAACAGCATCAGAGCGAAGAAAAGGTATCATTCTGAACAAACTTTCTTATCTTCTCTCAATCTAATGATTACATATATGTATATAGTTATCAGATGCTATTATGAAATTAGTTTTTCATAAACTATCTCTATACTGCAGCTTATATCGGCGGGCATGAGCTCCAAAATTTTAAAGGAGGCTTTACTTCAACAAAAGGAGATTCAGGATGAGGCAGATGCCGAAAACCCTGATAACATTGTTTTCCCGGAAGAACCTATTACCCAGACTCAAGTAGACGAAGACGATGATGTTGACAACTTTGCTGGATTCTCTGATAATCACAGTCAATTTGGCGGTTATGAGGTTTCCTTCATCCCACACGCTTCATATTGTCCAATTTGTGTTATTGTTTAGCTCATGAAACCCATGTAATTGAGAATTTTGACGGAAACGCAGGAAGAAATTAACGAGGATGAAGAGAAGTTACTTGAAGCCTTCTTCTCCAAAGATGCTGGTCCTCAGCAAACATTGGCTGATGTCATTTTGAGGAAGATCAAACAAAAAGATCAAATGCCTCCAGGTTCATATGTTTTACTTGCTTTTCCACCATTGATTGTGTTGATCACAGTACTTCTCCATTTTTTCTGATATTATGATCACAGTCTAATCTTTTTTTAATAGGTTTATCTGCAGTACTTCAACCATCGCCTAAATTGGATGATTCCATCATAGAAATATACAAGAGGTTCCATACTCATTGCTTCTCTGATCTTTAAAATTTCTATACAGTTAAGTTATAAAACATCTCACTTATGTAATGCAGTGTTGGAGAGATTTTCAAGAAATACACCTCAGGAAAACTCCCATTGGCCTTCAAAAGCATACCAGCAAAACAAAACTGGGAAGAACTTTTATACTTGACAGAACCCGAAAAATGGTCACCAAATGCTGTTTATCAAGCCACCAGAATACTTGCTTCCAATATGAGTTCAAGTAAAGTGACAAAGTTTTACAAATTTGTTTTACTCCCTCGTATCAGACAAGATATACGCAAGAACAAGAAGCTTCATTTTGCATTATATCAAGCTTTGAAAAAGTCTGTATACAAACCATCTGCCTTCCATAAGGGAATCTTGTTCCCACTATGTGCTGTATGTATGAATTACTCAAAACTTCAAACCCTAGTTTTACTTCTAACCAGAGCCCAAATTCATCAAACTCTTTTTGTGTCTTGTAGTCTAGGACCTGTAACTTGAGAGAAGCTGTTATTATTGGAAGTATTCTTCAAAAGGTCTCAATTCCACCACTTCATTCCAGGTATTATATTATATTCCTATTTTTTGTAAAGAAATGTATTGCTACTTTAAGGGAAATATAACCAAATTCTGATGTCAACTTGCAGTGCTGCTCTAATGAAACTTGCAGAAATGGAATATGGTGGCACAACAAGGTATATATATATATATATATTTAGTTTCAAGAATTACACATGTTATGAAGTAGAGTTAAGATAGTGGTTTTGTGATGCAGTTATTTTATAAAGATATTGGTTGAGAAGAAATATGCTTTGCCATATAGAGTTATTGATGCAATGGTTGCACATTTTATGAGATTTTGTGAGGATTCCAGGGACATGCCTGTCATTTGGCATCAGTCACTTCTTGCATTTATGCAAAGGTATAAACATGAACTCACAAAGGAGCAAAAAGATGACATTAATTATCTTGTCAAGAAGCAGAGACATAAACTGGTAAGTGTAAATGGATCAAAGTTGAAAAATGTTTTGTTTTTAAAGTAAACAAGGTAAAAATCAGAAAGTACAAGGACCAGTTTTGTAATATTTTTTGTAAAGTACTGATGTTAATGTAATAATGCAGGTGACACCTGAAATTCTAAGAGAGCTGAATAATAGCAGAATCCGTGGGGAGAAGGAGGATGATCTTATGTCTTTATATATCCTTCCTTTTTGTTTAATTAAAGTTTTACAATTTCCTCATATTTTATTTTGGTAATGATGGAATCAGAGAAAGAATGGAATGTAATGACTTATTCCATTCCATCCAATGAAACAGGTGTGATTTGAATTCATTCTCCTTAACTCTTGTATCACCTTCCCCTGTTTCTGTGATGAATAAAACCATAGATGAAGACCGATTTGATATTCCAGATGTGCCCATGGAAGAGGATTAATTTTCAGAAGCTCACTTGCCCTTTTTGGTAAATTTGCTCTCCTTTTTCTTCTGTTTGAACAGTGCTCATGTGAACAACTAACAAGTAGTAAGTTGATGTTTTCAGGATGCGGATTATTTTATGAAGTGTGAGGAATATAATTAGCAGTTTTGTAGAAAATACTTTGTAGTGTGTATTGTTTTAACTGTTTCTGAAATTATTTATATGTTTGCAAAACTATTTTTTTACATAGGCATAGGCATGTTTGAGGTTAAATGTAAAATTTGACCACTTTGTGAGGGTGGAATGCTAATTTTGAAAGTTGAGAGTATTCTTTGGAAATAAGTGTAAACTTGTCTGCTTCATCTGTTCCTTACCTTTGCATTTTTTTACGTCTTTTCAAATCCACTTGATTTTGAATATATATATATTTATGAAATCCTATGTGAATTGAATTACATAATTTGATCATTGAAATTAGTGCAATGGGGTTATTTGATGATTATATATATATATATATATATATATATATATATATATATATATATATATATATATATATATATATATATATGGAAAAGTGAATATGTGGTTGTAATGTACCTAAGTTTATATGTATAGAACCTTTTAAATGATGCAGTTTTAAACAAAATAAATCCAATTTCATTTTATCTTAGTTTTGTTTTAATAGAATAACATTGAATTATTAAGTTTAATTATAGAATGAAAAAGATCAATTATATATTTTTTTATTGCAAATGATTATTGAGTTTATAAAAAAAAACCAATAGTTTTAATGAATATAACTCAAGCATTTTGTATTTCAATTAAAAAATTATATCCAATGATTTTGTAAAAAGTTTGATTGAGTTATGATATGTTCTTCTTTTATATTTTATTCTATTAGTTTTCATTTAGAATTTAGTAGGGTTAATTAAATTGTCACGACTTTTAATGCGTTAAGTTCTTATACACAATGAAGAAAAAACATAAATTTGATCGATTTAGTAAGTCACATGATTAATGAAAAATAGTAAAAGAGATATCATGATTAGTTTGGATATAAATGGATCAAAACTATATTGTTTGGAGGGTTTTATATTTAAGTTTAGGTATATATATATATATATATATATATATATATATATATATATATATATATATATATATAAAAGCTAACATTCTCCACTTGAGGATTTTGGATTTTGGCTTAATGTCTTGTTGCCTCAAACCTAAAAAGAAAACAGAAAAAGGGAAAAAATTGTGTAAACAATGAATTTCTAGCCTCAACAACGATGCCATGATTCTAAGAAATATCTTTATTTCAATGACTATTATTTTTAATGAACATTTACTTCAAATAAATATCTCAGAAATATTAGTGAATCGCTTTCTGTTTTGTTGATTAATTGAGATATTATTTTAGCTGATAAGTAGGGACTTATAATATCCAACAGCCTTATCCCAATCATGCATTAATGGGACTAACATTTGGTGATATGGTGACTTATGTTCATGTCAACATGATCATTCATAACGACTCCTTTTCAAGCGACACGTATGTATTTTTCTTTTAATAAACTATCTATCTAGTTTACTAGTAATACAAGTGGCTTTCTATTGACCTATCTTTCCATTATCTCAATACTAAAATAATAGAATTGCAAGAAGGATGTAGTTGTTTCGGTGTAGGAGAATTAAATAGAACAGATTACTGGAAGGTATATTGAGTAAGTTGGCAAAATTATATACACGCATCAAGTTTCCAAATCATTCACAAAATTACTTACGAATCTCTACTTTCCAAATCATGAAATTAGATTAAATTTCCGTGATTTTCTCTCATATAAATGATTTTGAGAAATCAAATATCCTTCTATATTTTGTTCCTATTAATTTTCCTACTCATTAGATTAAAGCAAATGTAAAAAAAAAAAGAGAGATTAAGAGAGAATTAATGGATTCTACATGTCATTGTTTTTTATAGGAGTAGAAAAAATAAGTAAGAACAAAAGTTAGAAGGATATTAAAATTTTCAATGATTTTTACACAACTAATATACATCATTCTTGCATAGTCTTTTAAAAAACATCCGACATAAATACATAACCATCAAGCCCCAAATCTAATGAACCCTAAAACCAAATATATAAGTTATTCCCAACACCGTACCACAATCCAGTGTACATATTAATCACAAGTACATTACTAATGCGTACAAGATGCTTAAATTCCATATCTCATTTACGCAATGCACTTTCATTTACTTTATTTCTCATGATGACAATTCTATCTTCTTAGTTAATGACATATACATGATGATAATGAGTTGTAATATATATCATGGGAACATATCAAGGATGTGCTTATTGCTGGAAGAAGTGAACTCGGAAAGTATGTTGCCTAAATGAAACATAATGATAAGTAAAATACCTATACCTAAATGAGGAAATGAAACATTTATGTGTTATACACGAAGTACCTTATGTATTATTGACAATGTATTATATGACAAGTATGTGATGGAGAAGTGCCTAAATAGGTCTCTTATAAAATTTTAGGATGCAAGTATGACCAAGTTATAAATGAAACAACATAAAGTACAAGTCATAAGATATGATGGACGACTTAGGTGTAAGTGTAACTAACATGAAGTTAATATTGATTTCATATTTTTTTGAGTTGACATTCACTCAGGAAAGAAAAATGCCTTAAGATCTATATGATACGAATAAATGAAATCACGAAGAAATAAATGGACAATATAATAAAGTGAACCTAAATGAATCATAACATTTCATTATTATGTTTGTTCGTCGATTGAATGGAAAAACTCATTCAAATTATTGTTTATTATTATTAAACAGAAACCAAACAAAACTAAAACCAAATAAATAAAGACAAGAACTTAGTTCATAAAACTAAAATTTTATTATATAATAGAAATCATTAAATAAATTATATATAAAAGTATTTTATTTCATTGAATATATATATATATATATATATATATATATATATATATATATATATATATATATATATATATATATATAGGGTTAGGTTCATGTGAGACGGCTTAATTTTGTGAGACCGTGAGACGCATTTTTTAATTTCTTTTTATTTTTTTTAAAATTTTTTTTAGTTAATCCAAGTTCCGAAAATAATATTTAAAAAAAGAATTTTTTTATTTTTCCATTTATTTTGCATTTTAAAATTATTTTTAGAATATATACATTATAATATTCTATTTAGAATATTTCACGTATTTTAAAAAAAAAAGGATTTTATTTTATTTTATTTTTATTTTTTTTAGTTAATTCAAGTTCTGAAAATAATATTTAAAAAAAGAATTTTTAGATTTTTCCATTTATTTTGCATTTTAAAATTATTTTTTAGAATATGTCAGTGTAATATTCTATTTAGAATATTTCACGTATTTTTCAAAAAAAAAAAAAAACGGAATTTTCTTTTATTTATTTTTTATTTTTTTTATTTTATTTTTATTTTTTTTAGTTAATTGAAGTTCCGAAAATAATATTTAAAAAAAGAATTTTTGGATTTTTCCATTTATTTTGCATTTTAAAATTATTTTTAGATTTGGTCTCACGGTCTCACAAAATTAGTATGGTCTCAAATGAATCTAAACCTATATATATATATATATATATATATATATATATATATATATATATATATATATATATATATATATATATGTATGTATATATGTTCAGGTTAATTTGAGACCATTCTAATTTTGTGAGACCGTAAGATCAATCTAAAAATAATTTTAAAATACAAAATAAATGGAAAAATCCAAAAATTCTTTTTTTAAATATGGGTAAATTACACGAATCGTCCTTCGTCCATGTGCCAAAAAGCACGTTCAGTCCCTATTTTCAAAAATTAACTCGGATCGTCCTTCATTTGGTTAAAAGTTGCACATGTCATCCGTCGTTAGTTTAAATTTACACATTTCATCCCTTACGAGACATGAAATGACTATTTTGCCATTTTTATTTAATTTTTGATTTATTTTATTTTTTTTACAATTAATAACAATATACAAAATAAAATAAAAACTTCATCCCTCCCACCTTATCTAACCCCTTCCCTTCTAAACCCACTTTCCCCTAAAGCAAAATCATCACCACCACCGGACAACTGAGCACCACCATTGACCACCGCCGGACCACCACACACCACAGTTGACTACCACTTTTTTTTTTCTTTCAAAAACATCGTTGATAAACCCTTATCCCCCTTCTTCCCAAGGTTCCTTAAGCCACCACCGTCGACCACCAAGCCTTGTAGAAACACCAGCCGAAGGAAGAGAGGCGGAAACACCAACCATCACCACCTGTTCGCAGATCTACACTCCAGGTGGTGTTAGATTTGATTTTTTCCAAAGATGTGAGTAATGGCAGACTCGATTTCTTTAAGGTTGAAACTTTGCCGAGTTTGATTCAACACGGAACCCTCTCATATTACTCCGACGGAATGTACCTCCGCTGTAGGGTTTCAAATGGAGATAGAGGCGAACAAAAAAGTAGATCCATTCTTCTGTTTTTGCCAGGCGAGGGTGAGGGAGAAGACGGTGATGGTTGTGCGCAGATGGAGGTGGTGGTTTCGAACACAGATGTAGGCGACGATGGTTGCTACAATGGTGGTAGAGAAAGAAATAGAAGAGATGTGTGGTTGTGGTTTCCAACAACTTCATGGTTGTCGGCGACTTCGTGAATGGTGTGCAGATCTTAGACGGTGGTGGACAGGCGGCGAACGGAGAAGCAGAGATGGAGTGGTGGATGGTGGTCTTCATCTGGAGACCTGATTTCAATGATGTAGAAAGAAAAGGGGGGAAAAACGAAGGGGAAGGGGGAGCCGGCACAGGTGGGTTGATTGGTAGGGTATTTTGTTTTTTTTTTCTTTTTTCTTTTTTTTCTAAATCTAAAAATGATAAATACATATGAAAAATTAAAAAAGAAATTATTAAGGGTAAAAATGTCATTTTATGTCCACAGGGACGATCCGAGTGAAAAAATTATTATACAGGGACGGTTCGAGTTAATTTTTGAAAATAGGGACTAAACGTGCTTTTTGGCACCTGGACGAGGGACGATTCGTGTAATTTACCCTTTAAATATTATTTTCGGAACTTGAATTAACTAAAAAAAAATCATTTTTTTTTTAAAAAATACGTGAAATATTCTAATAGAATATTACACTGACATATTTAAAAAAATAATTTTAAAATGCAAAATAAATGGAAAAATCTAAAAATTCTTTTTTTTTAAAATATTATTTTCAAAACTTGAATTAACTAAAAAAAATAAAAAAAAAATCCCATTTTATTTTTTGAAAAATACGTGAAATATTCTAATACAATATTACACTGTACATATTCT